CTAGGGGCTCCTGGCATCGCTACTAGGAGCAAGGACGCTACTAGGGGGACATTTATGTGTTGTACAAGCGGAAAATACCGTTCGCGTGGCATGTAAGGGCCCATGGGTAGGTCTGACTCCACAAAATCCAAAAGGGTTTGCACGTCTGACCCGTGATCCATGCCTTTTGTTCAGATGCGTCATTGTGGCTCTGTGAGCTCAGTTACAAACAGACTCGTTCTGCGTATTTTTCTCTTTAAATCTTTGTTTAGGTTGAAGCTTAGGTTGGAGGCCATGGCTCGCTTAGGTTGGAGGCCATCGCTTCTAGATTGGAGGTCATCGCTAGTAGGTTGGAGGCCAATGTGTTGCAGATGGGCACTTTGAGCAGCCAGGCGTCTCTTTATGCACGTGGGCGCATGGTTACTGTATATGGCTTGCAGTCAGATTTTGTTTTCTTTTTGCGGGTCGTTTTCTTGCATCTTGCATCATATAGCTGTTCGTGTCCCTATAATACACACATATATGTATATATTTAAACAATGCATATTGTTTTGAGTAGTAGAGTTCACATTTCTCAGCAGCCGTAGAGGCTTGCTGTGATTTCTCAAGCAAAAGCCAAGAGCTGGTTCTCTTGGCGCCAAATTTTGTGCTTTTCATCCTCTCCTTGTCGTTGTGCTTTTCTTGCTGACAAAACCTGTAAGGTCCGAGAATTTGATGGGGACTTACTGATTCGCGCCAATCAGGGCCACACCATGAAGGCACACGCAGTTTGTTCAAGAAGTTTTGAGTTGGATGCCGCACGCTTCTCACAAGACAGGTGGTGGAAGATGATCTTTTGCTTGAGGTCATCACAGACCCGACAACCGTATTTTGCTCAACTTTGCAGTAAATGGGGCGATGTGGACTTACTCGATTGTTTTTTTCCCTATAGGATCACCATGCCATCATATTCGTAAGGTTTGCTGCATAATGCATAGTTTGGCCGGGTGTTTGAAGACATATCGCCCGTGGTTGTATCAGCACTACGCGTGTTTGTGATGCCAACCTTGGAAAGTTCAAAGCACAACAACTGGCGACCAAGGTTCAAGACTGTGTTCATGGCACCTACTTGGTGCACTGGCCATTTATCAAGAGACAAGGGTTGTCCAAGGCACCATTCTCAGCTTTTTCTGTTTCTTCAATCAACGTACGCAACAGGAAACAAGTGCATCGCTACTAGGAACAAGTGCCTTACTAGTAGTAACAAGAAGCCATTAGAAACAAGTGCCACGCTACTAGGAGCAAAGGACGCTACTAGGGGCTCCTGGCCGTACTAGGAGCAAAAAGCTATTCGGGGCTCCTGGCATCGCTACGAACGGAGCAAGGTCTTCCAGTCTAGATTGGTTCCCTTAGGTCGCCCGAAACCACATTCACTTGGCCCCGGGGCTGCCAGAGGAGTGCTTCAGTCTGCTTCAGTGCTTCACCGTGTCAAGTTTCGGTGGAAAGGTCCGATCGGCAGGACGGAAAGATCCGGGGGATGCGCTCAACAGCGGAGCTCTTCCTTTACATAGACGTTCCAGCAGCCATGCTGGTTCGTGCCCTAATGAACCCTGAACAAAGGACGCTACTAGGGGCTCTTGGCATTGCTACGCACGGAGCAAGAACGCTACGAACGGACTGCCTCTCGAAAGACTCCTAAGGATGGAATGGTCTTCTACCGGAGCAAGAACGAGGTGATTCTTACCCAAGGGCGCACTACTCGTGTTTCGATCGCCCACGCAGCCCATTTCGCAACAAACGCCAAGGTTGGATGGCTGGTTACCGGTGAAGTACTTCATCAAGGCTGCAGCACTGTGGCTTCATTTCATATCTCTTGTGTGGCCATGTTCAGAGATGGAGCTGATTCAAAGACAATAATGTGTAAGGCACGCATATTGTACAATTGTACATGTTTATCACTATTTCTTTTCCGTAGTGTGTCTTGAATGCCTCAAAAAGCAACTGTGCATTTGCTACCTTTATTTGTTCAAATATCTATTGTGCATATCTCTTCCCTGGTAGGCCGTGAAGATCAACTACTCAACCTGCGACATCGAAGAGCTGGAGTTTGACCGGGGTGTTTCGATGCCATCTTGGGCCACGCTGACGTCTTTTGCAATGCGCACGAACACATGTCTTGGATTTTGGATGCTTTTGGTGTATTTGGTCTCTTTCCGTGTCAGGTCGTATCACGTCAAAGGAATTTTGTTTCTCCTTTTAAGGGCTTTATTCGTAATTCTTATGCCAGGCTGCTGAATTGGCACCATCGGGCCCAGGTGAAGCAGGTGACCTGACAGCCAGACAGAGACTCTTTGTTTGGCAGTCGCTGTTTTGGACCCAAACAGGCAGTTACATGGTGAAGAACCTTGAGGCCTTTGCTTGGCTTACTAAGCTTACCTTAAGACGCAAGGCTTACAAGGGCCATTTTTCTCAACTGTGCAATGCTGAATTTCCCAGGCTCTCATCGCGAACTGTCGGAAGCGCATGGCCGAAATCAATGAGCTGAAGGCTTGCAACATTCTTCCTTTCAACCCTTACTTTCTGCAACGGTCTTTGCTACATTTCCTTCATATTCTCTCGTGCGATGAGGCTGCAGCTGACAATGGCCAGACTCTGACAGAGGTTTGGTTCAGTAATCGGAAGGAAACTGCTTTGGGCTTTTGTGGCTTTGCTTTTGCTCCATTGTATGACGCGGTCAGGAAGAACAGCAGAAAGTTGATCAGTATGGCGCTGCCACTGACCAAGTGGAACATGCTCGAAATGAGAGTAGATAAGAGGGGTCTTTAGCAAAGTTCAATTGCAAAGGACGTGGAGTGTTCGAAGGCTCTTACACACCAATTGAAAATGGAATCATTGAAGGTTTACATTGAGCTGCAGTCGCTAGAACAGCGCTTCCGGCAGCACAAGGGTTATCGGCGAGAATCAACTCAGGACTTTCTCCTACACGGTTTCGGTTTTGCATTTGCTTCGCATCATTTTCTGGAATGCATCACAGCACTTTGGCTTTCTCTTGAGGAGAAAGAGCTTCGCGCAAAAGAAGAAGCGGAGGTCACACAAGAGGAAGCTTGAAACCTCTTTCCGCACACAAAGCAACTTATTGATCCTCTGCTGAAAGGCCGCGACGGTTGTGCAGCGAAAGGACAGAGCTGTGCCTGACCTACTCTCTTTGCCAAACCTTGAGCACTGTGGAGCTTTGAGAAACTTGTTCACCAGGTGACTTAACTGATAGAATATGTAAACTATGTATGAATATGTGACGATTCACTGGTCTGTGTGCTGTGTGACCTGCTGTGCGAACAAGCCGAGGCAACGCCTCCTTGGGAGAAGGGCAGGACAAGTATTGAGTCACGAGCTCTGTTATTTCCTTTAAGCGTGTATACTGTGTACTGTATATATATATATACTGTATATAATATTATATAATATACCTTACGTTGGAGGCCACCGTTAGACGACTCAAGTAGCAAGTAGTAAGAGGTAAGCTACTTGCAATAAGAAGCTCCTAGCTAGGACGTAGGACAGCTTTTGAAGACTGTAACAAACAACTCAGGTCGACAACATTCAAAGCCACAGACAAAGAGAAGGCAGAGCCGGACCCTTAGCCTTGCACCTTCTTTGGCGACAGCCTTTTTCCACCTCTTTCCCAAATGCTTTAGATGGACAGGCCATCGCTATTATGATGGAGGCCATCGCTATTAGAGGCCATCGCTATTTGGATGGAGGCCATTGCTATTAGGTTGGAGGCCATCGCTACTAGGATGGAGGCCATTGCTATTAGGATGGAGGCCATCGCTATTTGGATGGAGGCCATCGCTATTAAGTTGGAGGCCACCGCTATTAGGATGGAGGCCATCGCTATTTTGATGGAGGCCATTGCTATTTGGTTGGAGGCCATCGCCATTAGGATGGAGGCCATCGCTATTAGGATGGAGGCCATCGCTATTTGGACGGAAGCCATCGCTATTTGGATGGAGGCCGTCGCTATTAGGATGGAGGCCATCGCTGTTAGGATGGAGGCCATCGCTAATTGGATGGAGGCCATCGCTATTTGGGTGGAGGCCGTTGCTGTTAGGATGGAGGCCATCGCTATTAGGATGGAGGCCATCGCTATTTTGATGGAGGCCATTGCTCTTTGGATGGAAGCCATCGCTATTAGGTTGGAGGCCACCGCTATTAGGATGGAGGCCATTGCTATTTGGTTGGAGGCCATCGCCATTAGGATGGAGGCCATCGCTATTTGGATGGAGGCCATCGCTATTTTGACGAAGCCATCGCTATTTGGATGGAGGCCGTCGCTATTAGGTTGGAGGCCATCGCTGTTAGGATGGAGGCCATCGCCATTAGGATGGAGGCCATCGCTATTTGGATGGAGGCCATCGCTATTAGGTTGGAGGCAATCGCTATTAGGATGGAGGCCATCGCTATTTTGATGGAGGCCATCGCTATTTGGATGGAGGCCATCGCTATTTGGTTGGAGGCCGTTGCTGTTAGGATGGAGGCCATCGCTATTTGGATGGAGGCCATCGCTATTTGGATGGAGGCCATCGCTATTTGGATTGAGGCCATCGCTATTAGGTTGGAGGCCATCGCTATTAGGATGGAGG